GAGGGAAATCTTTTGGGCTGGCAGTGATAAAATAAGAGACCAAATAAAAGGGCAGTGAGAGAGGAAATTATTTCACGGTGCCTGGATGCGCTGACATGAAAGCAGTGCATTGTGGGTATTCTTGGCCAGGGGGAAACCAGTGGAGCAGAAGGACAGAGATAGGAGAGTCTGTGCGCTGCCACGCGCACGCAGACACACAAGCATGCACACATGCATACACACAAGCATGCACACATGCATACACACATGCATACACACATGCATGCACACACGCAGACACGCATGCATGCATGCAGCGTATGCATGCAGCGTATGCTTCAGGTTTCCAGCAGAGCGCTACACGAGCAGCCCACAGTTTACACCAGCCCACAGTGTTATTTGACCCTGATGACTTGATCACTGTAGTTTTAAGATAACAACCTTCTCTCAAATCCTACTCAGCAGCATGCAAATGACTAGTCAGCATCAAGACTTTGTGAAGACCTTATTGTTGGAGTGGGTGCTGATGACCACGTTTGTCAGAGCAGCAGGGGGTGTCTGTACGGAGGATTTTATATAAGAGAGTCAGATGGGAGGAGAGATGTAGGCTAGAATGCAAATTTAGCGTGGGGCGGTTAGGGCCAGTTTCCACTGCACTGCGCTCCACTGAGCTGTGGACTTGTGAATACGCGAACACGCTAACTTAACAGGACAGGCTGATGACATCACATACCACTGGCCCCGCAGACATCACTGAGTCACAATTTTAATATGTGCATACAGAGGCACGCATTTGTATTCCAGTGCGCTTGTGTGTGGATCAGAGTTTGTGGTCACATCCCAACACACGTGCAGCGAGTCTCCAATCCTGATATACACAAAACCATAAAAGTCACGGCATTTCAACCAAAAGCATTTCTGCACGTTCATCTGTCGCTGCGCTAAGTAATCGAATCTTTCCAAAAATCGATAATAACAGTAGACACAAGAAAAATATATGTTCAGTGTGATCTAAAATAATTCTGTTTCTTCTCGAGACATTTTGCTTGTAATAAAATAAAAGGTGCAAAAAATATAATGTCAAATCTCCCGATGTTTCCCTCAGAAGTCACAAATTGTTATAGATGTGCCATCGTTTCAGCGGATCATTGAGCTGACGGGCACAAACATCCACACAGATAACCCTCGTTTCACTGTAACTGTAACTACTGACTGTGGCCTGAGGGTCTTACTCTGTGTGTTACAGAACAGTGCATTGAGTTGTGTTAGTTTTCTTCTAATTTAGACATTAAAATAATGTTTTTATATGTACAAGTAATATTTCATGAGTTGATTTGTCTCCAGCAAATTTCCCCAAATTTCCCCAAATTTCCCCAAATTTCCCCTCCTTAAACAATATTTAAGGACAGGATACCTTATCAAATTAACTGCAGTATACTGATCAGGTGAAACGCTTCCCTTTATTATATATAATACATATTGTAGGACATGACTACCATTATGAAATCAGCATAAAATCACAAACACGACTGTTCTCAAAACCTGTAGTTCTAAAACTTGTGTGTGTGTGTGATTGTGTGTGTGATTGTGTGCAGCGTGACGATAACTCAGACTCATAAAGTGAAGAGAAAAACAACAAGGCTGAATCCGAGTTGTTGTTTTCGTTTGTTTCATTATTGCTTCAGCGAATTTCTCATTTTTAACAAACGGAAAAATAAATGAAGAAAACAGCTTCCTCCTCAAATGTCACATTATTAGGCACAGACGCATCTGTAATATGTGCGTACAGCACAGCACGCATTCACACGCTCAGATAGAAACACATACACTCACATACACTCACATCAATGATGCGACTGACAGCAGCTGCCTACTATGAGTTATCAAAATTACGAATAACAACCAAACGACAACCAAACTCTAAAGTCCATTTTAAATACAAGAGCTTCACTATGATACCTACAAGTACACAGTTATAAATATATCTGTACTATCAGTGATATGCTTTTCTTAGACAAACGAATGTTGGATTCTTTGGCCTGTCCTTCAAACCCGCATACAGTAGAAACTGCTCAGTGCATAGATACCTGTGGAGTTTAGCTACCCGAGTCTCAGAGAGGAGGTCAACATACTCGCAAATAAATAATCTCGCGCTCTTCGTTTGTTGTTTTTGCTCAGACACACATGCACAAGCACACGCGTGGCACATCCGCAGACAATTAGGTTAAAGGGTCGAGGCCCAGGTTTTAAGTCTCGGGGTAGTTGTCGTCTCCTAGGCGATGGCGTTCTCCAGTGGTTCCTTCTCATCTGCCGTGGCGTGATCTGCACCCTGCGCTGCCGCGAGTTCCTCATTCTTCTTTAACTCCCGCTGATATTTGGCCATGATAGCGGCGTAGGCGCATCCGTACACCGCGGCGGCCAGCATCATCAGACACACGATCCCACACACTACCCCGGTGATGATCACCGTGGCGATAGCGTGCCGCAGGTTGACGGGCCGTGGCTTCTGCTTGGTTTCGCACTCTGCCATGCCACCTCCGCCTCCGCCACCAAATCCCTCCCCCATCGCCATGGGGACGTGGAGAGCGTGGCTGGAGGGATGAGCGTGGTTGCCATGGGTGTGGCTTTGTAGTAGTCTCTCAGACTCAAGGTGGTGTATGTTGGCAAATAGGTAATGGTAGCTCGTAGTCATGCAGACGTGGAAGAGCTGGTAAGGGATCTTCTGCAGGTCTCTGTCCTTCATTTCTTCTGGTTGGGAGCAAAGCACTTCATCCACCGCTCCACCTGGGGTCAGAGTTCAATGGTTAGACATGACCGAGGTTAAAAGGTTGTGTCAGTTGTTCATAAGTTAATGTTAATTAAGTATCTTTGCAGCAGCTTACAGAGAAAACCTCAATCACACTCATCAGTTACACGAGCTCATTTATATTTGTATTAGGACATATTACTGTAAACGGCCACATTAGCAAGTGTTATGTGATTAAAAGAAGTTGGATCACTAGAGCTGAGTAACATGAGTCAACCGCCTTCTGTATGTACCATAAGTCACTTTAGGACCTGCGTCCACATATGTGGACGTCACATTTTGGGTTATTTAGACCAAAATACTCAATTTTGCTCTACATGGGCCTGATATCCACTTACGAGGACGTTATGCTGCTACTGTTCTATCAAAATTAAACGAATATCCTCATATGTGGCTCTTTCTTAAAAACTAAAATAAGGTAAAAAAAATCTGGTAATTCTTTGTTTTTACGTTCATCAGGCCCCAATCAGCCCAAATATCAAAGAGAAATTAAAGATGCTGTCGTGGAAGAGTTCGGGTCTGAGGAGGTTAATATTCATCGCTCTGTAAAGCATGCTCTGTCACACACTGAGACTCTGCTTGCGTGATTAACCACTGGTTTTCTGTTAGCATGCATTATTGTTGTTCTGTTTTGTAGTA